ATTACTGCGAGGGCAATATGTACATTAATAATAATTATAATATGCTTATATTTATGTATAAATATACATATGTATGTATATATGTATACAAGATAAATAGCAGAAGGATTTGAGGAAGTTAACAGAGAAACAAGTTTAAACTATGTATTTTGTTATATGTATATCTATACTTCTAATAATAAGAGTTCATATCTTTATAAGTATATATGTATACTTTTAGATATTGACAATACTTTACATATTTTATAGTCATTAAATTTGTAAAAAGTTTTGTGTAATAAAAGAGTGGTAAATAATTAGAGGGTAATGAGACCTTTGTGGAAATATTAAATATTATTCTACATATAATTATTACAGCTATCTAAAACCATGATTAACTCTACTACTTTACTCTTAAACATCCAAAAATAATTCCCTAGAAATAACCTAATATATTCATATTATTATAAATATTATTATTCCTTCAGTTACTCAATTCCTTAAGCTCTTCCCACATCCTTTGGGCTCAAGTTCCCCAATTAACCTCTTCCCATATCGATTTACAACTTTACAATGCCTCAACAATTTTTTCTCGTCTACCCAAAAGCCCTCAGAGTGGCAGTTGGCAATTCCGATTTTATTTCACTCGAAATTACCTGCTGTAGAAATATAATAACCCCGACCATTAGAAGACAAACAAGCATCCCGAGCACCGCAATTGCCAGAGCGAGTGTCCTGAGAGAGTCTGTCTCTGGCTGGGCGTGTTTGTGTTGGGCTGCAACCGCCACCTCCCCCCCTCGCATGGCACGCCCGGGCAACCTTTCAACTTTATTTATTAAAAGTGCTTATTACTTTAACACTTGAGCGCGATTTAACACGATTTGCTCAAGTATTTTCGTACGACAACGAGGACACATTCCGGCGTTCTCGTTCTCGTAAGCCAAAGAGCAGGGAGCGAGTGTCAAGGTATGTCTCTGTCTGGGCCAACTGTCTGTCTGTCTGTCTGTCCTGCCCCTGCTCGAGTGTCCTGTGCCAGGGTCCTCGTACTCGCACTCGTACTTGTCCTTGTCCTGGTCCCCGCGCTTTCCCCCTTTTTGGATCCTTGAGTATTTAGCTTACCTACCAAACACCGAAAGCAGTTTCATCTTTTTCATGTGCAGCAAGCAGCTTCGCCAAAGAAGCAGCTTCATCATTTTTACTCTTTTTTTCACAGTTTACACTGAGAAGAAAAGTGAGGGAATTCAAAATGATAGTTAAGTTTACAAAATAAGGACTAGCAAAAGTTTGGTAAATTTATAAAAGAATAAGAAAGAATTTACTTTTCAGAGTTCTGTAAATTCCATAACAGGAGAATAATAGTTCCTTTCCTTTAATTTAATATTAATAATTATTCTTAAATTTACTTTAAATTTTTTTCAGTGCACCCACACAGTTGTCCTTGGCTGCTGGCTGCTAGTGTGAGGTGGGTCCTTGCTTGCTCTTCAACGCCTGACTGTTGGCTGTAGATCGACTTGACTCGGCTTCAGCTCCTCTGCCTGTTCCAGCTTCTTTTAGCCCCTTTCCGGTGCCGCGCCCCCTTTCCCGGGCTGCTATCATTGCCAGCATTTTGATGGGGTTTTTTTTCTCGGGGGTTCTTTGGGGTTCTCGGGGCCTGCCCCTAATATTGCCCTTGACTGTTGTCAACATGTTCAGCGTATTTGTTGTTCAAGTTGCTGCTGCTGCTGTTGCTGCTGTTGTTGCTGTTGACTTTAAGTGTGTTGATTTCATACAATTAACTTTTTGTCTGTTTGTTTTGTGCGACTTCTGCCGGCGTTCGCTCTAATTTCCTGCTCCGGGAAAGTCACTGACATCGTTTGACAGCCACGTGAGCTTTAACAAGCTGGGGGAGCCAAAAGCAAAAACAGCAACAGCGGAGCGACCGCAACGTGGCGGATACGCAATGTGAATTGTTTTTGCCCTCCAAAAGCAAGCTGGTTAAATTTAATATTTATTTTTATGCTTTTTGATTTAATTCTTCTCGGTTTCAACTTTATTGTGTGTGTGTGTGTGGTCGCGTTGTTACCGCTTTGGGGATTTATGAAAAATTTAGTTTTCCTTGTTATTTTTATTGCTGCTCAGGTGATTTTATATTTTTATTTTCATTTTTATTTTTATTTCCATCACGGGATTCGCATTAAGTTGAGGCTTTTATATATTTTTACGAGGCTTGTGTGACGAACCGTGTGAAATGTCATTTGTTTTAATTTGCCCGCGGTACGTGAAGCGGATTATTTTAATTTATTTCGCACTTGGACACGCTTGCGCCTTTCAACAATTTCTCTTCCAGAGCCTTAAAGCGCCTTTCATAAATGTTTGAAAATATCTTGCAACTTAAAATTAGCATTGCAAACAGGAGCACAAATCTTTGGCAATTTATAACCTTAGCATGTAGATATATATATGTTTATATTTCGAGGCCATAAAAAGCAGATACATAAACTCCTTGCTCCTTGGTGATTAATGCGTCATAATTAGAGTTGCTTGCCGGGTACATGCATAATTCCACGTGGCAGCCCTGTAAATCATTCGTGAGTATGTGTGTGTGTCCTAATCTAGCCACCGCCAAAATTTGGAATTCGGTATACCCGGTATCCCGGTATCTGTCTGTCAGAGACACTTAACTTTCGGCTGCTGGCAGGTTCATCGCCAAAGTGTCGTCGCCGGCAAACCCAGAAACGCCTCTCTGTCAGCCGGAAAATAAATGCGTTATGCGTGCGCTTAAGTGCTCATTAATTTGGAATGTCAAACTATGTTGACTAACGCAAATGTTCCACGTTTAATCGCTTCGAGGAGGACCTCGTTTGCGGCCTTGATGAGTTCCCGGCATGCTCTCTATGCCGCATCCCTGTCAAATTGATTTAGAAGAGCCTCATAAAAGCAGTCCGGTCAACATTTAGGCCCCACAGACTCTCATCCTCTGGCGTACTATAGCATCCAAACCACCAAACCCACCACCACCAGACATTTCAGCCAAAAATAGAGGCCGTCATCAGGTGGAGGACTTCACGTAGGCAAGGCATTTTCAATTGAGATATTTCCAAATGTTGCTGCTACTAATTTACAGAGAAAAAAACAAGGTAATTGGGGGAAAAGCTTCTAAAAAATATTTTTAATATAATTTTTAAAACCAGAAACATTTAAAAATATGATTCTTAAATATATAAGTTTGTGTATTTTAATTTCTTTATCAAAATTTTTATATTTTTCCTCGTGTACCTTTCGATTTGGGGCATTGTTGCTCGTGATATCCTGAACAGGACTTGCAGAATAAAAAGGAAAAAAAAAACAGAAACGACTGGCCTAAAAGAGATGCGGGCTGTCTGGCCAACGTGGCCATTGGGCAACGGGGCAACGCAACTGGAGGCTGCCGACGTGCCTTCCTTGCGGTCAGTTGTTGCACGTTGCAGGGTCAGAAGTCATTCGGCCTCTATTAGCCTGCTAATTGAAATACCAGCAGCAGGCAGGACTCGAGCCCAGCAATGGGTTAACTGTTGCCTGGCTCCAGCTTCAATCCTGGCAGAGCTAAGCGAAAGATACGGAAAGTATAAACTAATTAAGAGTTGCCAGCTGGCCAAAGGTAAGTGGAAAGTTCATTAATTAAATAGTGCACTGATTTGTGACTCCTCATTGATTTGGACTCTTCAAAGAAAAAAGAGTATTTGCAGTGAGTCAGAGACCATGCATTTTATTTACTATTTATTCCAAACATTAGTAATTTCCACTCCCTGGCTCATAATTATTCTCATCACATCACCGCCATCAGCATAATTATCTCACGTTTATTGCGCAATCCTTTGGCAATGTTCTTTATATACATTTTTTTTTACTTCGCGCTCTTGTTTACGTGCAATGCAGTTGGGATTCCATCATTAGGAATTAAGCAAAAGTCAGTGGCGGAAGTTAAGTACTTGTCAAGTGACGATGATGCCGGAGTTCTTGGCAAGGCCAAAAGTTTTAGAGTATGCGGGTTATTTCCCCGCTCCAACTTCCGCCGCCGTCGTCGTCGACTCCATTCAACTTTGCTCCGCTTCGCTTTTTTTTATTCATTCCTACCAGCTACTGCCGCTGCATCCTTAAATATTTTCCCTTTAATTAAAATTTCAACAAGCCAGACTCCGGGCGCTAGAGACAGGGAACACTGGCGGAGAAACACAGAGACGGAGAGGAAGAGACAGAAGGCAGAGGAGGAGCAGACATGCCCGCATAAATTAACTTTTGCGTAGGTGACTGTGTTGTACGGTTTTTGTATGGGAGTTTCGCCGGGGTCTTTGGAATACGGAACGGAATACATAGAGAGTGTGGAGCCTCTGGTAAGCCGGGCGTAAGTGCCTTATCTTAATGCCTCGCCATATCTGGGGCCTAATGCATATAATAGGCCAGGCCTGCTATTTAAAGTCTAACAACCCTTTTTATATGCAAATTGTTGCGCTACACGTACACGCCCTAGCGCCCTTTTTCACTCCCACCCTACCCATCCCTTTAAACCTCCTCCTGCTGCTCCTCCACCGGCAACTTGACATTTTTTTCTAGATATTCCACGTGGCGGTGGGCTCTACACCCCCTTTTTAATTTCCCTCATTTAAACATTTTGTGAAAAGTCATATATACTCGTCGTGGGTGGCGACCGTGTGCGTGAATTACGTTTCAACTTTTTACACGACTTCGGGTCTCCGGCTGTGTGTGTGAAAAACGTTAAAATTTGCAATTTAAATAGTTTTAATTAACTTTCACTAATTTGCTGTCGCTCAACTAGCACAAGTTGGCAAACTAATTTTAAAGTAATTTATTATTTAAACAGCTTGATGATTGGCAGTGCCTGCCACAAAAAAATTTAGGAAGGAGAGAGAAAGCCCAACTGCCTGCGGCCTAATTAGCTAAAGGTGTAGGACCTCCTCTTCCCGCCCCCCATTTGCGGTCTGTCCTTTGACTAACTGAAATTGGTGTAAAAATGCCGCTGGCTTTTGGCCCAAAACATTTGCAGATTCTAGTTTGTGGCTGCGTTTATTGTCCACAATCAATTGAACAAAAGTTTGCGGGGGGCAGCATTTGTAAATAGGAATCCTTGGCTTCAGGTCATTATCTGGCATTGGCCCCAAAACATGGGCCACAAACAGCCACCGGTTCCATAGGCATGGGCTAGATTGTAGCTTCGGACCAGGAAAAGCACTAGAACAAGTATCAATAGGATCATTAGGATAAGGACGCCAGTGGCCAAGTCATCGAAGGTTAATCTTTTCCAGAAACTAGGGATTGGAATTTAGTAATTTATAGAAAATTATAGTTTCATTTGATGACTTCTTACCTTGGCGGATGAATAGGTTTCCTTTTTAGAGGTTTTATTTTTGAGATTGAAGAGGTCCTGCAATGGAATTCCTGGTTTCGTTTCTTGGCCAAGTCTATCACCTGCCGAGCCCGGTTGCCCAGTTTTTTTCCGCATTCAGCAAAGATCTCTGTCACACTATCCCGGTTCCGTGCCAAGGACACTTGCTCAGGTGTGGTTGGTTCTGAGCAACAGCAATCGCTGGTTAAGATTATTTTTTTTTTAATCATAATTAAGGCAAAATATAGTAATATATTTTATATAAATGACAAGCAAGTGATGTATTTTTACATGTTAACTTGAAGCCTTGATTCAATTAAAGCTTTTCTTACAACAATTTCCAGCTTCTTTGTTAATTATTAAACAAGGTTTTAATTGTTATTTTAACCTCTTAAATGCCTTCTAATGTTTATGCCAAATAACAATAATAATCACGCATTTTACAAGCAGCAACAAGACCTTGAATAATATTATCTTTACCAGGTTTATTATCATTTATTAATTTATTCTCTCATCTTAATTTCTCACTTTAAAGTGCAGCGCCCCCCGGGGGTACTAAGATAATTTTGATTATCCATTCAGACACTGCGGCCATCTGGGCCATCTTAAGCCATTTCAACGCCTGAGCCAAATTAATAACATTATGCAAATTTTAAAACCGACCCATAAATCAACGCATTGAATTTGCCATGAAATAAATGCGTGCCCAAAAGGCAAATAATGGCAGAGTCATTAGATAAATTTATATCGAACGACAAACAAACAGCGGCAAATTGAAAGAGAACAGAGCGAAAAAAAAACACACACACAGACAGCAACAAAAATCGATAACAACGGGCAAATTGAAACCGAAAATTTACAGTAATCAGCATAATATAGAAAACCGCCATTAAAATCATTATGTACCAAGTTTAATGCCTATTTATGGCTGATTTCAATTTAAGTAGCGCCGCCACCAGCCGCCAGCCACCAGAGGGGGAGTCCCCCTATACCAAAAAAACAAATATAGAATACACACAGAAATATACCAAAAACCTGCTGGCGTTAATTTCCAATAAAAAGCCGCTCTGCAAAAAGTAATTAACAACAAATTACGAAACCGTAGCAGGCAGCAACAACCGCCGCAACCAACACACTTAAAGCTAATTAAATTTTACGCTGATTCCCATTGCCCCCATCTCTTCCCTCTCCAAAAACCAAACCCATAACTGATTGTTGGCAATAACGACAGCCGCAGAGAGCCGAGAGCCACAACACATTTGCCATGGGTCCCCCAAAATAATATGTATTGGTAAAATAATCCTATCAAAGGATATAATCAAAATTAAATAAAATACGATAAATATAAATTAAAATAATTTTTTCTTGGCTGCTTTCTTCTTTTTTATACAATTTTCTTGTTAATTAAAAACATATTTTTAAAGTTTTGTCATAATAAAACTGATTTTCCTGTTCTCTTTCTTTCTATAAAAAATTATCAAAATGAAAAACCAAAACATTTAATTTACAAGAAAGCTTCCTTTCCTATTTCCTCTGCTCTCTTGCCAAATGAAATCAAATAAATTAAGCGCTGACCAGCAGCCAAACACAATTTGAAGCCACCTAATTGATTTGCCAATAAAATTCACAAAACTCTAGCCGCAGTTGCCGCCAAAAAAGGACTCGGAGCTTGCCGCCTGAAAAGGAAGGACCCGTAGCCTGTAATTTGTAACTGGCCAGCTGCAAGAGCCAAAGTAATTGACACACACAATCCACGCACACACTACACTACACTGCAAACACACACTGGTGAGCAATCATACATATGCACATTAATTACCACAAAGTAAAAGGAAGGCGAAAAGGTGGGAAAGTCTGGTAGGTTGCCGGGAAAACTCAATGACGACACCGAAGCCTGGCCGAAAAACCATTTGAGACCAGCGATGCGAAACTAATGTGCAGCAGCGGCCGATGGAAATGTCATTTGAGTGCAATTGTTGCTGCGGCCTCATATTACTTTTGGTCATTTTCTACATTACAGAGCCTTGCCATTATTGGTTAGATGGGAGTTTTCTTTGAAGGGGAAAATCTAGAGAAATACTTGGTTATTTTAAATATTTATTTAAATTTCTATGAGATCAATTTACAAGGAAATAAGTTAGAGAACAACTTGTAATTATTTTTAGGCTTAAAATGCTTAGAACGAAGTTTTGTTTTGAATGAAATCTGTAAAATAAGTAGACAAGAAACTGCCACATTTTACTAACAAACTTGTTATTAACTTAATTAAATATTTAAAATTTAAACTTTCCTTTTTAAATTATACACACTCTTGCCAGGCCAACAAAATATTGCCCAATAAGAAACTACCGCCATTAAGCCACCAAAATTTGGCCCAAAGCTGCCAAAAAGTTGACCATTCATTCGTGTGAATGCCACTGCGAATGCCTTTCTCCGGTGCCCTGCAGCGCGAATTGCAATCATATTAAAGGCAGAGAGAATTTCCCCCTCCTCGTTGGAAAAACATTTGATGCCGAGAAGCGCGAACACAGAGCGGAACATGTGGCCGCCTGAATGCGGCAGGCGGCATGACCGGGGTATACCGATCCCCCAGACCTAAACTAATCACGGCTACCCATCAGCTGAGCGAGAAAAAAATAAAAGCAAACCAAAAACCCTGAAAACCGTAACACTTTGCCCGCCATTTGCATTTCCCCAGGAAAATGCCGGGCAGAATTTTTCGGAAAGAGCCAGTGGCTCAAAGCGAAAAGGCTGCCAAATGCTAATTTCCTGGCTGGAAAACTTTTTGGTCATTTGCTTTATTAACGACAAAAGATGCAGGAAACGTCAGGCCACAAAGCCTTAACCCATTTAAAGTTAAAGGAAAATGCAGAATAATGCCTGGAAATTATTTTAAATATTTTAAACAGGAAAATGTAGCAATAAATGGTAAAAATATACCCAAAAAATGTTTAATAAAACTAAGGCTCCTTCATTTTACCTTTTAAATTAAATCTAAATTTTACCTCAAGCTAATCAATTCTTCCAGGGGGTTAACCCAAAAACTCCCAAGTTTAAATTAAATTTCCAAGATGCAGGATGTGGCGCTAAGTGCACTCCCGTTTCCACTTGAGCTTTGCATAACTCATTAATGGCGAAAGTTTCTCTGGTGCTGACACTATCTGAGATGGCGATAAGACCCCCCTTTGGGGCCACAAAGGACATTGGACACGAACCAAGTCCAAATTCCAGATCCCAGATCCAGACAAGGAAAGAGACCGTCCCAGGCAGGTCAAGTGGGGCATTTATCAGGGCTGCAGGGATTGCACAATATGGACGCATAAGGCACATGCCCATCATCATCAGCATCATCGGCATCATCATTATCTTGGCGATCATGTGCTGCTGCATGTAAGCAACAAAAATTAATTGTGCCCACATGCAACAGGAAGCAGGACCGAATCGGATCCAAAACCCTTGCCGCAAATGAGAAACTTGGACAATCGCATTCACACATTCTCGGCCAGAGACAATTGAAACTTTTTGTTCGAGGACGAGAGCACCAGGATGGGGAATGAGAATGGGAAATGGGAATGGGAACGACTACGACAACGACGACGAGGACGAGGACAATTCTAGTCTCATTCACATTTGAGGACATGAGCTTTTCTTCTTGGCCGGCCAGCTTGACATGCGTTGGCAGGAGCCCCCTGTCTCCGACTCCACCTTTCTAGCTAACCATTCTTATGTGTCAAAGCATGTGTTTCTGCACTTGAAAAAAATACAAGAAAATTGTATAAATATCTTTAATAATAACCAAAAGAATTGGTAATTCTTTGAGCTTTAAATTACTTAATTTAAATAACTATTGAGAACGTACAATCGTTTTCTTATTAAAATCTTATAAATATATATCTATTAACTTTTTTAACATCTCCTTCTTTAATTAAATTAAAACACTAATTCTAAAATCCTAAAATTTTGGTTTTTCTAGTGCATTTGTGTGTTCATATAAGTTGGCCAAGCTGTTGGCCTGCTTGTGGTCGGTTTGCCTTCCAGCCATATACCCATCCATTCATTCATTTTGACATGGCAGCTGCCTGGTCGGTCCCCCCACACTTTCAACTTCCAACTCGATTCCTTTTCATTCAAAGAACTCTTGTTATGCTCGCCCTGCTTGCGGTTTTGAACATGGCCAAATGCAACAGCTTCGATGGGAACACACGGTGGCGGTTGGAGTGCAATGGTTGCGAGTTCGAGTGGCAAGACAAAGCTAGGGTACATTGAGGGAAAATATTCTGGAAAATGTATTATATATTTTAATGAATATTTAAAATATGCAGGAATTAGGTAAGGTTATTCTCTGATATTAGAAAAATATCTACAAAAGTAAATACATATATAAACATTATAATTTAAAAGGTTATATTCGATTATATATTATACCAAAAGGTTGCAAGATATTATTACTTTACTCATTTATTTTAACATTTAAAATACTCTTCTTGATTTTACAAAGTTTAATGTAGAATCTAAATAAAATTTACTAAGCTAAAAAAATAATTTAATTATTAGAAGAGCTCTATAAACATTCGAATATATTTAAAAATCTGTTTAATCTCTGTATTTATTTTAATTTTTGTAGAAACGTGTTGGAACGCCTTAAAGATTGAATTTTTATATCAATTAAAATATTCATAAAATACAATATTTTCTTATTTATAAAAGTAGCTCTTGTAAATGTAATTATTTTATTATCATTACCATTTTTCCCTTGTGCACTCATTGTCGCAGACCATAGCCGTGGCTGAAGTCACTGCCGTTGCAGTCGCTGGAGTCGCTATCGGAGTCAGTTGAGTGCCTTTGTTGCGGTTCATTCAGTTGTATATGTATGTATGTATGTATGTGACTCGGCCAAATGTCCTTACCGTGGCTCGTTTCTTGGCTTATTGCTCCTGGCCGGGTCGGGTCCTCGGCTATACTCTCTGTCGGCACTATTCTGCCGCCTCATTGGGGCTGTCGCATTCTTCAATGTCTCCTTTTAGTAGCGTCATGGGCTTCATACTTTGTATTGAAAAGTTTTCGCGCGCGACTGACAGCAGCTGAATGCGAAGTCTGCCTTTTCTCTTTCCCTACATATACGACTATATAGTTGTATATACATATATATTGGCGCGACTTGGGGAAACTTTGGCTTGTTGCGGATAACCCAATATAGTCACTCGAGTGTGCAACAAGGAGGTCGTCTTACATTGAGATGGCAATTTGAACACATTTTAACCGCGGTTCTGATTTCTATTTGCATAGTTTTTGATTGAAC